CTCCCCCCCTCCAGTAGCAATTTTCGATCGAGTGACCCATCCTTCGGCAGTTCGGGTTTATGCACACCAGTTTTGGTTTCGAGTGGCTTGTCTGGGTTTGTAATGCTGTTGCGGATATTCCAGCCTTCTGTTTTTGTAGAACCAGTCTGTCCCAATGGACGGTGAGTGCTGCTATGACGTCCTTTGTTGTTGTTATGGAGTATAGTCCTGCGACTACAGCATTCCACGACTCTGGTAGGGAGGCCATCAGGATAGTTCGGAAAGCTGTGTCATCCACTCTCGCTCCCTTTTCGGTGGCAGACTTCCACTTCTCTCGCATATCCTCAACATGCTTCAGAAAATCCATCCCATCAGCAAATTCTGTGGCGCGTAGTCGCTTCTCGGCATTCATCGCTGCAATCTCCGAGAATACCCCATAGTTTTCGGTAAGTGTTGACCATGCGTCTGCAGCCGTACTGTCCATTTTGATTCCCAGACCAACAGGATTTTTTGTATTGTAAATAATAAGTCCCAATGCCCACGCATCTCTTTCCTCCCACTCCTCCAGGGATGGGTTCTTTGATGACCACTCGGTGGCAGTTGGTTTTGTGTCAGTGGATTTTATTTCGGCGACGTCTGCCGGCTTTTTGATCGTACCGTCCAGGTAGCCTCTAGCGCCACGCGCTCTGGCTGCAATCAGGACACGATTTTTGAAGGTAGTGTAGTTTGTCCCGTCGAAGTGGACTTCTTCGGGGAAGTTTGGTGGGTTTGCTGAGTTTGTGGATGCCATGGGTGTGGTAGTGTGGGTGTGTTGGTCTGGTGTATATTTTGTGTGTGTGGGAATGTAGGTGTGTCTTTCCGGAGCGGGGGCTCAACGGAAAAAAAAATATAGATGGGAAGTGCTAACGGGGCCTATAACCTGTAGAGCAAAACGTAGTTTAGTCCTCAGTCACTCGATATAAGGTAGTTGACTGATATATATTACCTGTAGAGCAAAACGTAGTTTAGTCTACAGGGAGTTGTAAGTCAATATATCGTAGAGTAATACTAATTCTACTCACCCTCAGTCACTCGATATAAGGTAGTTGACTGAGGGGTCTATCCGGTATCCTACGGTAAATAAAGAGAAAAAAACATTTAAGGTTTAGGCGCAAAGACTGGTAAATACCGATCGTATACCAGTCGATGGTAGTGTACGTCATATCTCAACAAAGATGAAAATAGGCTCTGGCAAAGGATTCCATACTAGTCGTCCGAAGTTTGCAAATAGAGTCACATCAGCAACACAAATTAACTAGATTCCCAACCATCATCTTCTGCTGGTTCCAACAATATTGACACCCGTTGACCAAATACGTTGACCAAATATCGGCGGAAATGACACATCGAGTCGTAGAGTAAGTATAAGGCGTTGGGCCTTGGAACAAGCAACGAACGCCCCAGAGCCAGCGAGGGGGCAAGTCCCGCGTGCGAATGGGGGTGTTGTTGTTGTTGCCAGTGCGACACGGAGCAATGCGGTCACTGACACAATACTCAAAGGATTTCTCGACTTTCTCCACTTGGTCCTCAACAAGAATCCCTACCTTCAACTATGGTCACCAACCCTCTATAGTTGAACAGTAGTAATTGTGCGTCCAGCTTCATAGTTGACTCTTTGCCTGATTGTGAGTGATGCGGATTACATCTGCCTTATGCAGTCACAGCGCTAACTTTATCACCACATGGAAGCGCTTCTCTCGAGCTAGGCGTGCTCAATTTACATATTGCATACTTCTTTGTGAAAGAACCCTAAACTCGTGTATAACAACAGTTCTTTTCATCGGATCACTCTCCGACACAGTACTCCTGCACAAGTGACCTGATCTCAGATGGCAATTTGGGCCTATATAATGATTATGCGTCCTAGCACCCTCACATCTCTTCTCCAATCATGTTTCGCACTTCAACCTGGCGCCGTAATAGTGCTGTTAGTGGCACTCGGTTTCGGACATCGTCTGATTCATCTTCCTCCGCCGATGCTACCATCATCTCGTCAACATACGCACGTAAATGCAGAAAGCTGATGAGGTTGCATCGAGACCTGAACAGTCTCTGGTTGGGGTTCTTCGTAAACTTGTATTCGTATTTAACTGAAAATGCTCCCAGCGACGGGATCCCTCTCGATATGCCTAAATTAGCAGTTATTGGCAGCCAGTCGGGTAAATGATAGCTAAGTGTCACCTAATTATTCTGACGTTGTTCCCTCAGCCGGTAAAAGTTCTCTTGTAGAAGCTGTGAGTGGAGTAAGTGTTGTTCGAAGGGTCAGATTGCGTCTTTCTCAGACTTGTTTTTCAGATCTGTGTTCCAAGAGATAGCGGAACCTGTACAAGGCAAGCATTATTTGTGGGATGTATCACCGTGCGTGATCATGACCTAGTTTAGGTGTCCGATGGAGTGTTCCATGTCCACTTCGGAAGCCACATGGTCATGTACTATCTCTCTTCGTATGTCCTATGCTCCCGATGGAAGTTCGATCGCTACTGCAAATACCACTCAATTTGGCTCTGTTATCACCGACAAAAAGGATGTCGAGATTTGGATCCGACGTGCGCAGGCCGCAATACTGAATCCTGCTGCACCACACAGTGATTTTTTTGACAAGACAGAAAGAGAGTTGAAACGACGCTCTAATGCACTCCAGTTCTCGAAGAATGTTGTTTGTGTGCATGTTAGCGACCCGGACCTCACCGATCTATCCTTCATAGACTTGCCTGGTATGTCTATCTCTCGCTTTTGTATTCCTCTGATCTTAAATTCCATCGTACAGGTCTTATCCAGAACTCCAACGATGAAGATATCAGCTTGATAAGGAATCTGGTCGTGAATGCTATATCGGGCTCTAACACACTTATTCTTGTCACGATTCCAATGAGCGGTGAGCCCATTGAAGATTGCGAACACATGGCTTGACTAATGACTTTCACAGATGACATGCAAAATCAAGCTGCATTTCGTCTTGCGAAAGATGCCGATCCTACAGGAGAACGAACAATCGGTGAGTATTCCCCATTCTAATGTGTGACAGTCTTCTGACTTGAAATATAGGTATCCTTACCAAGCCCGATACTCTTTCTGCTGGTGCAACTGGCCATCTTCAAAACTGGAAGGATACCCTCGAAGGCAAACAATATCCTTTGAAGCATGGGTATTACTGTGTCCGCCTTCCGACAGACGCAGAGCGCAATCGTAACCGGTCCCGTATAGACTCTCAGAGGTTCGAAGAACGGTTTTTTGAAACGACCTCCCCTTGGAACACTATCGCTGACCGGGCTCGGTTCGGTGTCCCGAGCTTCGTTGCCAACATAAGCGGACTTCTTGTTCAGCTAATCGAGAAGAAGTACATAATCCTCATCCAATTACCTCGAACGCTTTACTCACATACATCCATAGTCTTCCCGAATTGCGCACAAAGGTAGCGCAGCTCTTGTCCGAATGCAAAGAAGAACTTGCAACGCTTCCGGCTCTTCATACCGGCGATCCGTTCACGGAAGTCTGTCTGCGTATCACACAATTCTGCCAAGATTTTCAGTCTGCTGTATCTGGAAAGAAACGGAAGATCATGGCTCAGAATAATCGCAGACGATATGCAAACTTCAAGCAGGATATTGAGCGTACTCGGCCCAACTTTGTACCATATCAATATCGACACTACGCTTCAATTGATCGTGAAGCTGAGCTCATTCCAGCGTCTGGGCGCATAATAGGTGTGGAGGAGGTCAAACAAGCTATCTTGACGTGCGTGCAGATCCCCATGTTGATGGGTCCTTGGTAACGGTCTTTGACAACTAATTATCTCCTAGGTCCATTGGTTGGGAACTCCCAACCCACATCCCTTACGACGCGATACAGAATTACATTCTTGAGTTCACAAACATTTGGGACAAACCTGCGATCTCTTGCTTTCAAGATGTTTTCACCAATACTTCAGGCTTTATCAGCAAGGTCATGGCTGAGCATTTTGGACAATTCAAGAACCTCGAGAGACATGTCGCGTTTGTCATTGTTCAGAACTTTGTGGTCATCACGTCGCTTATCCTCGTGTGTATACAGATCTGTCGTTCAGGCCGACTTGCAGAAATGTAAGGAGAAAACTCTGGACAGGCTGGCAAAGATGACTGAGCTCGAGCGCCTTCCTGCGTGGACACAGAATGAGGAATTCTTCCGCTCCGAAAAAGATTACTGGCTGAAAATTTATTATAACGCACAATTTCCACACAACCTCCAATCCCACGACGTGAATAGGAACGTCGGCGATTTTGATGCTTTGAATGTGATGGCAATGGTTCGTGCTTTCTTCCAAGTCGCACACAAGGCGAGTCCATTCCGCTTGCTCTCGACCTCCAAGTTCTGACACTTTGGCAGCGAATAATCGATTATGTTCCCCTTACCATCGAGCATGCACTCCATCAAGCCTTGACCAAGAACCTGCAAAAGAGTCTCTTCGAAAGTTTGCAACAGATCCCTGATGGACAGGAAGCCCGTGGTGACTGGTTTGCGGACCTTCTCTCTGAAGATCCAGTATTGGCGAGGAAACGGGAATTCCTTGAGGATAGAGAGAGTCGTCTTGAGCTGATCAAGAAGAAACTTGAAGTATTCGAGCACGGTGCTGACGATTGAATGACTTTTGTTTTACCCTCCCCACCGGTCTTCCCGCCCGTAATTGCGATAAACCCAATTCCTGTCTTATGCAGTACTTTGCGATGCTGACAATTAATATGCTAGTCAGGACTAGTTGACTGGGAACTAATGTTTTGAGTCAACAAATCAGCACACATAGATCACCTCGTTTCGCCTCGCCAAACGCGAAACTAGTGCATGTCTGTGCTTCCGTTGCCCATGAGGAGGGCTAAGCATAGATCGATAGACACTTCGAGTCTTAGTTCTCTGTATTTGTCATTTTCTTTTCCAAAGTCATCGTCCAATCATCATGGGAGTGGTTCATGAAGTCAGAGTGAAATCCATGTTCAGTCATACAAAAATGATGCCACGTACCCGGATTGAACGAGTGACCTTCGCATGACGTAGTAACCATGTAACCTACAAGTGCGACGCGCTACCACTACGCCAACGCGGCCCTATTTGTACTGACTTGCAGTCGTGTTACTCTCATCATCGTAAATAAACCTAAAAACGACGAGAGGACTCGCAAACACGCTAAGTACGTGGCGCAATCTAAATGATCGTGCGCTTGACATTCTTATAAAGGGGTGTTCCTATTGGTTCTCGACGACTGAACTTGAAATCTCAAGGCCAAAGATAACGTGACCGCGCACGGATGTTTACAAATCCGACCAAATAATTCCCAACTATAAATTTTTCGTCGTTTGCTCTCTCAAGCCTCGCCACTTTTGGTTGTGTGAGTATTTATTCCTTTTTCTTTTCCCTGATGACTTTATTCTCTTCCCCGTCTTACACGACCATGTCGAGAGATAGAGCATTTCTGTTCGCAACAGATTCGCGCTCTTTGAGCGCCTAGTGTACTTGCCAGTGCCATTTTGTCTGATCTTCCCTACCCTTTCTTGGATCAATTATTGATTTTTTTGCCTTAGATTTATCCTTCATTGGATCTTGCTTCTTTCGCCTGGTGAGTCCTTTTCTCAACACGTTTCCGTTACATTGCGCAAGCGTTCTTGATGAAAGACCTACAACATTCGCAGTTTCCACTCTAGCGCCCTCCTCGGAGCACTCCCCCAATACCGAACATTTATTTTCCCCCTTAGTGGTCGAACCCAAAGATCACTGAGTTGTGGGCCGCCCTTTGTGGTGCGATGATGCTAGGTGGGGGTCGGCACGATGCGAGTTGAAACGACCTTCCTTTGGATGTCTGATCTTTTGTGATGGTGGTCAATATCACTTGGAACAGATGCTGACGTCTTTCTTTTCTTTTAGGTGTCCTCAAGGTCGATGTAGACAAGTCGAAATAGAATGTTATTCATAAAACTTTCACTTGGTTATGTTTACAATTTAATTTCACATATTCTACTACTTGAAACCTATCACTGCAAGTCTGCTGCCAATGCGTTGTAATCAGGACACAAATCCTTCCATTCTTGAGGAGTAATTTGGGCTTGTGGCCCTTCGACATTATCTGCTGGTGCCTCGGCAAATGCGACCGCGAGACCGGCTTCCAAATGCCAGTCAATGTGACTGGAGGTGACAATTGAGTGATGACTTCAAATCTATAAGCCAAGTTAACGCACCAATGCAAGAACCAAGCACCTGGATTGTCAGTCCCTAGATTGTACGTCAGCATTGGTAGAACAACTGGATACAAGGGCAAAGGAACATACTCCAGCGGAAGGTGGTGTTGCCTCCGTTTACTGTAGAAAAAGAAGTTCAGTACGACCACAGTTTATCAGTTCGTCTGACACCTACTCGGGTAGACGTCGCGACGGAGTGGGCTGGGGAAACGTAGTCAGTGCCGAATTTTGCATGCGTTCAAAGAGAGTTACTTGACAAAGTTGAAATCAACGGCATTTGACGGACGAACGACGTCGAAAGCGTGGCCGTGCACTGGTCAATGTGAACAAAGAGACACTGTGAATCTCAATTCGTTTCGCTTACAATGGAACGGATGTGCTGAAAATCATTTTCATCAGCTTGGATCTCGCATGGCAAAGAGGAAGAACGTACCTCCAGTACCCGGAATCGAGACTTGGAGGAGGATGTTCGGGGGAACGATGATACTGTCGGGTTGCGTCGGCAATTCACTCCCGTAAATATCCTCATTACTTACACCTGCTCCGAAGGAAGAAGATCTTGAGGCTAAAAGAGAATTGTCAGATCGCAGACGACTCATCTCCAGCATCGGGCGTACCTGCTTGGCACCACTGAGGATTTGCAAGAGGACGGGGATGGTGGGCGAGATGTAGGAGATACCATTGATGTCGAAGAAGGGAGGATTCGGCTGAATTACAAAATCAGTATGGATAGCATGGGAAAGACTGGACATACCTGTGCGATGTTGAGAACGACGGCTGAAGAAGAAAACATCATTTCAACTCTTTCAACTCTACATAATCATACGGAACATTCTTACCAACATCTGGATCACCCGAGCCGAGCTGGAAGAAAATGAGCTCAGAAGCATTGCAGTCAATATAGGGGTATCGTACCATTCCAGGGTGTTCCGAGGCAATAGGCTGTAGTATTTCAGTAAGCAGCAATCAGAAAATCGACGGATGCATAACTTACATGCATCTGCTCATCGAGAAGCTTCGGCCCGCCCGTATTGTTGGTAGTGGGCTCTACGTCTGGTGCACCCTTGTATCTCAGAATAGCCCTAGTCAGATCGGGGTCGACTAAAATATGACGTGAGCGTCTAGTTCAACCGATAAAATCGGGGAACGCACAGTTCGGGTTCCCATTGGGCCCAGGTGCACCACCAGTGGGCGGAGCCCTGATCCAGTAGTTGTCAACGGGCTGGTTCGCATGCAGAATCGCAGATACACGCTGTGCTGTGGGACAACTCATACATCAAGACTTTTGAAATGCAGAACTACGCAGAAATGGCGTACCGGTGTAGACATCAATGTTCTGGACTTCGACAGGGTCATGTTCAATACCATCGGCTTCCATGAAGGTGATATTGTGATTGTCGATGGAGAACGTGAAGAACGGGCGGCAGGCAATGGCGAAAATACGCAACCTGTACCTCTTTCCTTTCTGAACATTGACAACAGCGTAGGGGACTACAATCGCGCAAGATGAGGGTCCAAACTTTGGCAGATATAAATGACATACCAAGGGGACCGCCGACGAAGCGTCCTGCACCATTGATCAATCCCGAATCAGGGATACTGTGTCCCTCATTAGGACAATAACACCTCTGAGGAAGATAGTTACTTACGGCACAACACCAGTCTGGAAGAAATCATTCTGCGCCGCAGGCGCAAGTTCGTGGTACCAGTCGGCTAGAGTAATAATAGTACTCTCTGTATCTCTAACATGAACCATCTTGACCTATTTTCAAAACACAGAGGAAACAGACCGTCATCAACATCGTAGAGATCCTTCAATGGATCATCCGGATCTTTTGAGCATGAGACATGGGGCATACTTTCCCAAGTACAGACCTCACGTACCGTATACGGCAAAAATTCCACGAAGGCCATCACAGTACTGGGTCGACAAGTGAGAGTGGTACCAGAAACTATTCTGACATGAACTGTGGGCCAATGACAGATGAAAACGACACGAACTTCCCGGTTTGCCCTGCTGTGGAGAATGAATAGACAAACGTAGCATTTGGTGCAATTGGGCACTGTTCACAGAGTTAGCTATTGCAGCCTCCAATGACTTTGGAGATATACCTGAGTGACGAACCTGGTGTTAACGATGAGATTACATTCTCTTCGGATGATTAAATAGGTAAGCTTACGCGGGACCGTCCATATCCGAACTACGAGCTTGGAAGAAGCCATGCCAGTGCTAATGCATTTCAGCCTCGGGATGAGAGATACAGAGTTCAATCACTCACGATAGAAGTACTTTGTCTCATTAACGGATCGTGCAACTCGTTGTGGATCGGAATGACAACCGAGTCATTCTTCTGAACCATAATGGCCGTCCCAGGGAAGGTCCCTCCAGCAAGAATAGCCCTTTAGTAAGTGTATCAGCACCACAGAATGATCTTTGGGGATCTTGCTTACTGGCGTTCAAATCCATCGGGGGCAATGGTGCCCACAGTGATTGGGATGTCGAAATGCCGAACGTCAGCAAGTGCTGCGGGCAATAGGCTTGCCAAAGTCAAAATCGAATAGCGAACCATCCCTGGGGATATGCTCCTTCCTCCACATTAGACAATGGTTTTATATATGTGAGGCATTTTTTTTCATCGCTCGCATATCACCAATGAACGAAGGCTGTTTCGGAGTGTGAGATGTGTGAGTGAACACATTCAGCGGAATCTTCTCACTCTGCGACTTGCTAGATGTTGCGCGATAACCGTTAAAGGCGCCGCGTGTATGCACAAGCAATGTGTGGAACCCAAAAGAAGGAATAAGGTCGATGGGAAGGCTTGGGAATGAAGTCGACAAAAATACCAGCAAGTCGTATTGAGCGCGTTGTTCGTGTTGTTTTGAATTGAAAACAAGCTTTGATATAACGTCGACCACATAATTCGACTGATCGGTCAATATAGTCTTTATTCCCATCGGCAAGTAACTCTCCCGGTCATGTTCTGAAAACTTGTGAGAGTCGTCGCACCTTACGTGAATATAATTCCCTCCAAGCAAAACCAAGACCATCTCCAACGGAGTATCGTTACTCAGGTACCGCGGCCATACGGATCATTCCCTCATTCAAATTCCACTTGGGAGATTAGACAATGAGGATGAACACATACTTGAAGAAAGTAACATAGTACGGTATAATTATTTCCTGCCCATACAATTTGTCACATCAAAACCAAAAGCTCATCGCCGAGACGAACAGATCCTCCTTCTACAACGCCCTTGCCATACCTTCGTACAACTTTCCCCACGTTTGCTTCACCACTTGTGATTGGAATCTCTATCTTCATAGCTTCGAGTATGAGCAATACCTCGCCTGCGGATTTTATTCTATCTCCGGGCCGGCACTTGATTTTCCACACGGAAGCAAAGAGTGGTGAGTGGATTGCTACATAGGTTTCTGATGTTCCCGCTGGAGGGATCGAAAAGACGGGTTCAAAATCATCTTTCTAGCATGGATACAAATCTATACCTTCAATGTCGGCGTTCAAAGATCGTGCGTGAATCGCCTCCCTCTCCTTCTCGATTTGCCACTCTGAAAGAAGCTCTTGTTCTCTACCACGGCGATTTAAGTGAGCGGCGAGTAGATTTGTTTTTCGTCTGATACAAACCTTCTCTCCTGTATCATGGATGCCTTTGCCTGAGAACTTCTGAAATCCATAGCTTCATCGGCGATTCCACGTTCAAATTCAGTGTATTCCTTCATGGAAAAGGTTACTGGCTCAATCTATAAATGGGAGTGTAAAGCATAATGGCAAGATAGATGAAACTTGATTATAATAACCTTGAACTTGTACGTGCCTGAGTCAAACGCCCTTTGAATCTATTTAACGGGTAACAA